AAAAAAAAAAAAGTGCTGCAAACCTTTTTGTGTAACAAAATAAAAATCTCTCCAAAACGGTGAAATCAGCTCTGAACTAATGTACTTTAGAGATTTTGACGGTGAGGTAGAGAAAGGACAGTCATTTAGCGCCTGTTCCACCATTCAATGCTTATTTCTCAGTAGAATTTATCATTAAGTGATCAGCTTAACATGTATTTAAAATAACCATTTATCAACTGCTGCCTCCAGAAAATTTGGTATAATGACAGCGTAATTTTAAAAATTTTACACCATTCAAGACTTTTGCCTTTCCACCCCATGGTGCTGTTTGGGCTGTGTCTATTTCTTTCAAATGAAAAATTTTGAACACATTATAGCATGCTAGGATTACTTAGTACATGGTCTAAAAGATTACCAAGTTTTAGAAAGCGCTAGTCATTGAACAATTTCAAGAAACGGCTAGGTGCACCCGCTCTTATGAACTCCGGAAATAGGGAATATCATCGCAAATCAACTGAATGATGTTGCAAATGTAGTTACTGCAAGCATGCCCTATCAGTTGCTGACCGCTTCAGAGCTTTTTTCGTATCATCTATAAAGCTGTCGTAAGAAACAGAAGCCTGAGTAAATTTTTTTGTAATGTCTTGGAACCAATGAGGATAAGCTTAGAAATGTGCCTGCCGATTCATTTGTAAAAACTTATGACCAAAATCAGAAAATACACGTCAGTAGGCTGCCATGCAGGAAACAAATGTCTGGCAAAAAGCAGCTGGAATGTACAGCAACTGTTCTGAGTAGTATTTTCAAAAAAAAAATTTAGAATGAAATGCTGTAAAAAGTATAGTTGCAGAACACAGGTTAATTGATAAGTCAAAGTCAGATTCCTACTAGATCCCGTAAAAAAAGTTAATAAGTTACTTCTGATTATATACCATCTTTATCAAACAGTCGACGGCTAATTTGAGGTTAGAGCACAGAGACCTGTTTTATACGACTGCGAATTACGCAAGTTACTGTCAAAAACAAACAAGTAGCAAACGAAAGTGATTGTGCTAAAACTTTGCAAAATATTTTCTGGATGAAATTCGGTCAGGAATTCAACTTCCAAAAGATGCCCTTTTGTTTCACGGACAGCTGATTGAGCCTGTTTGATAGTGCTTAAAAATTCTGGAAATAAATCTCCAAAAATGTTTTTCATAAAGTGGCACTTCTTACAGAAGTTTCCATGGCAGAAAACAAAACGGAAATTTGTATCAGAAAAATATTACATAAAAATATTTCTCTTTAAGATACTTCAAAAAATTGGAATTACAGTAAGCACGCTTGCAAAAAGTGATTTTATCAAAATAAAAAAACCTTACTTCGCAAAAACTTGAATCCTTATGCAATAGAAAGTCCAGCTACTGCTCCTTGTTATTTTGACTGAAGTCTCATTTACTAAGTCGAAAAATTAACGCTGGAATAATTTATTTAGCACACTTGTTGCGGTTTGGAATCTAATATCGGTGACTTTGATCAGAGTGCCTGGTTCGACACCAATAATGCAAGATATCAGTTCCCGCCGGCTTGTTGTCCACAGGAAATACGAGACCTCTCCAAACACTATTGCCCCACTATATCCCGCTACAACAACGTAAGGTTTCCTCTCTTACCACTTAATGAAATGAGATGAGGAAAAGTTACATGCACAATTAAAGGATTAAAAAATTTAATTGTTGAAGCACATAAATACAACCTCAAAAGTCCAGTTGAATTAGAGACCTGATTTGAGTTGCACCTCACTTCTAAGATGCTTCCCTGTCTTATTCAAAGCGAGAGCTCTTCCTGGCCTCACAGTATACTTTATAACTGTGCCAGTCTTGACCTAGATTTTTCATACACTCACAAGTATTTGTCACAGCCGTAAGTTACCGTAAACCATGCTCGCCTTTTACAAACGAAGATGCCATTCTCCAAAAAAACTATCCTACACCCTTTCCCTTGACCACTCCACTTTACCTCCCAAACCTGGAAAAATCGAACACACTAACCATATCTAATGATAGCCTCCCAACAAAAACTGAAACTTGAGACCTAAATAACCAGAGCTACTGAAACAGCTTCTGAAACACCAAATAAGACTTAGCAAGTAAACAGCAACCACTATATTGTTTGTTTCCATATTTCAGGGATGCTTCCAGTACATTTGGGAAGAATACAAATATTTAATTCATGCCGGCTTCTTCGCCTTCCTTGGTTCACTTTTAATAATGGTAGGTCAGCATTCCTTAACGAACCTATACAGCATATTTGAGAAAAGCCCAAAAAATTTTCTTGAGCGATATAACAATAACTAATAACTACAACCAATATCACCGATCTCATAAAAATACGCCTAGAAAGTTACAATGTCACCAGTTCTTTTCAGTTAATTTCGGCATTCTACACAGTGCGACTGAAACGCCAAGTAGATAAAGAGATTTTGTATCTTTATTGAAGCTTTCAACTGTAAAAACTGTAATATACCTCAATAATAATTCTTCTTTCCGGATGCACCATATGTCCGACATTTCACGAGCATGAACCTTAGTGATCCAAAAGATTCCTTAACTAATGAGAAATAAAACCAGATATTTCAAACATAAACCGACTGCAGTACTTGTACAAATATCCACCTTAAAGTCTTTTAAACAGACATTCCAAAACATAAAAAAAAAAGTAAAAACTCAGAAAATCACTTTTTGAACCATTAAGACATATTAACAATGGACAGTACTTACTTTTAGATGTAAGGCACACTTTAAACAACAGTTCTCAGCCCAAAAAGTTACTTTTCAGATACTAACTCAATCCATAAAACCTACCTTTAAAAAAAATACAGAATTCAAAAATACAAGATGCCTCTTAGAAAACAATAGAAGGAATATATGATGCAGTAACGAGAAGACTGATCGCTCAAACGAAATACTAGATTTGTGTATAAAGGAACGGTCAACACCAGTGTAACTTGTCGCCGTCGAGTATTCCGCCTTAATGCACTCCCACATAGAAGGATATAAAAGACAACAGAAAAAAACCCTGTTTCTGACCCTAAAAGAATGCCAGCTTTTTTCGTAGAAATAACAAATTGTAGATGGCGCAAAGCAAAGCTTTTTCACCCATCACCTTCAAATACGATGTCAGTCCTCCAATTTCACAATTAAAAAGACAAGAAAGACACCCCGTTCTTAGTACCAGCTCACAGTGATTGCAGTGTCCATAACTTTAAGACTACTCATTAACCAATTTCGTCCTCGTTCTCTCCTTGATTTTCTTAGGATTAATAACACCTATAATAGAGGTCTACACACAGATGGATGTTTAAATATCGACTTCAGAAGCTTAAAAGAAATGTAAAAAGCCGCTATAAATAAAAAGATAAAAATATAACCTCAGAAAGATTTGTAACTCCGTGATTAATCAATAGATTAAACCCTCAAAGTGTCATTTTGCAAAAGCAGCATCTTTACATATTTTTTCTAGAGCCAGTTTCCACTAAAAACATCAACAAAAAACCTGTCTAACACCTTCTTGAACAATTCCATTTCTGTTTAGGAACACTCCTTAAAGAGTCATGCATAACAAGTTTTAATTAGTTTTCATAAACAAAACGTTAAAACTATCTTCCCGTCTTCCTGAAGCAAATGAAACTTGTAAAGTTCTTTCAAAGTAAACACCTATTTAATAAGAATAATCATTTAAAGATCCTAAAAAATCGATAAGAGAGAACAAAAGTCAATACTTTAAAACTTTGTTAACACCGATCGCAAACCTAACCAGCTTTTATCGGTCGACTAGAAATCCTCTTTAAATTTCTTCAGCACAATTAGTCTGGCAACTACAAGGTACACTAAAAAACAAATAGCGGTTAAATTCCTTCAGAGAACTGCCAAGTGGAAAAACCGAAGCTTGTAAAGGTCATCCAGAAAACTCGACACCTCAAGACCACTTATTTAACTGGAAGCAAGCCCGCTTTTAAAAACCGAAGAAAAAAATAAACACAGACGGCTCGAATGGCAACATCAAACCAAAAAATTCTCCAGTTAAAATAAAAAAATTATAACAGACTCTTGAGTCATTACCAAAATCTAAACCAGTGAATAAAGTTACAGGCTCCGTAGGTGAAGGACAAGGTGCAAACACAGGAAACCAAACTTGTCTAACAAACATCTGAGCAATTTCAGCTCTACAAACTCCTTACATGCACTTCCGCAAACGGATCTTTGTTGCAGCAAGCAACTGGTTAGAACGGGAGCGGACATTCGAACTTTCAGGAAAGAATAACTCTAATTCAACCTTCGTTTCAAGCAACGACCATCATTTCCTAAGTTATCGCTTCTCACTCAGTTCTGTGGGTTTCTGGACTTTCTTCTCCTGATCACCAACTTTCGTCGAAGCGTTTAGAGCCATACGCCGTCTTACCGCACTAGGCTGATATATAGCACGTTCTGGACGGTCCTTAAAAATCACTTTTAAAATCTATTTCCAAAATTAAACCAGAAGTTTACAGCAGTTCTTCATCTACCCTGAGCTGACTCATTCATATTCAAAGCATGCCTAAAAGTAAGATAATCACGCTCAGTAAGTTCTCCAATTAGAATAAAGAAAACAATTTATGCTAGCTCTAAATTTTTAAGACGAATGCAAAACAACTTTCAATCACATAAACATAATGCGGAAATCTGGAACCAGTTTAAAAGATATGAGCAAGTTAACTGTCAACAAAACTATATCTGACACTCGAAACTTTGCAAGACTTGAAAATGGAACTGTTATGCCCTCAAAAATCTTGAAATATAGCAACAATAACTCAACCTTGTTTCGCCGTGGCTTCTTATCTGTATCTGCAGAACTCTCGACACCTTCTTTTGAGGACCGAACGTTGGATGACTTGCGAGACGGCAAAGATGATCTGGACATAAAAACTAACGTATATTTCAAGCTTTAATTACTGCTGAGGGAAACAAATAAATTAGAAAACTAGAACCTTTCTGAAAGATCAGACTCTCCTTCGTTCAACTCCTCTTTCGTAGCTCTACTACCATTTTCCAAAACCGCTGTTTTCGCTTTTTCATTTTTTTCGACGTCTCCAGAACGATCAGCATGCACGTCCCGTTCTTTGCTACTTTTAATTTCTGAAAAACTTGAAGCCAGTAGGAAGTGATAAAAAAAATTACCTTGACCTTTTACAAAAACAGACTGGAAATTATGAGCATAAAACTTCTCGAAAATTATATAAAAGTTTTTAGATTTTAATTCAACGTCAAAATATATCTTCAGCAAGTAGTGTGGCAGGAAATATAAGGAAAAAAAAGACAAACTCTGCAATGTTTCTCGCTCTTTCTTCAAACTTGATTCGCTTCTATATCGTGTGGGTTTTGAATTCCAGTCCTGCTCGCCTTTCGATTTGCTGGTTTCCTTCTCACTATCTTCTCTATAATAAATGTTTGACTTTTTTACCAATGCTGTATGTCTCTTTGAGATAAATGAAAAAAAGGTCCAGCAAACTGAATTTCTCGCCCACTTTGGAAATTCGAGTACGACGTTAGTCTAAAAAAGACGGAAAGCCTAACACTTACTTGACCTTTTTGCCCTCTCTATGGGAAGACCCTCGAAAGAGGCTGGGATCGATTTTAGAATTTCGGAATTCTGTTATCTTCTTTGCTTCTTTACGTTCTGTTCTCTCTTTCTGCTCCTTTTCAAAAAGCCGCTGCAGACGAGCTTTTTTTTCCTCGTCTCTAACCCGCCGCTTATCCTGCAACTAATGTTTCACAAAAATGGCCCCTTCTAATCTAATAACCACAAACTGTTGACTGGTTAAAAGTTATTAAGCTGCTTATAATAAAAAGTAACCAGTAGATGATATAATAAATACAAAAATTTGATACTCGAAGGCAAACCTGTAAGCGTCGAAACCTTTCATCACTCCTTCTTATCATAAACTGGGTTAAGGGAGTTTCTTGTACAGTATTCTCTAAAACATTTCTAACATAAGCTGCTTATATAATCTTCCACAGCAGATCAAAGCAGTCGTGAAAATACAATTTCAAAAACCCGTAAAATTCATTACTAATGTAAATTTGATGCTTCCCCAAACTTACCTGTATTCA